CATTAGCTTTTTCAGGAACTCCCAAAACTGTTAACTGTCACATCCTTGCACTAGAGAAATTAACTACTTCATGACTTGATGTTGCTACAACAGAAATGTTTTCGTTTCCTACATGGAGTCCAGAATCATGACGTTTCACAAACTAACAGAGCCTCACCATGCATTGAAATAATCTGTCAGTGATTCTGTGTTACCAGTCCAGGTATTGAACTATTACAAAGCTTTATTAATGCAATATTATTATTCAATGTGCTGTCATCCCGTCTAGATCTTTAAAGCTTATTAAGGTTTTCAATGAAACATGGCCCATTATGGTGAACGTCTTATCTTGCATATAGTGATGATAACGATTACGAAACTACAACTGCAAGCACTGTTTTCTTCATTGTACGTTATCTGCATTCGAGATTTATAAGCGTAAAATTAGCGTATATATAATTACACATCCTATTCCATACTTTGTTTTGTTTGTAATTAAGCACAAAGCTACACAATGAGCTATCTGTGCTCTGCCCACCACGGGTATCGAAACCCGGATTCTAGCGTTGTAAGTCCGCAGACATACAACTGTGCCACTGGGAGCACCTATTCCATACTACAGCTGTGATAACATTGCGCAGATTCCATTATCACTGGTACTGTGTCCCATAAGAACTCATTGCCTTGTCGTGGATATGCTAGAACTGGAGTCTTCACTAAAATAAGACTTGGGGATCAGTATGCTACTTTACATTCCTTGCTTCATCCAAAGTGAATCTCACTGTAGAGTGAGCATACAACAGTGTTACTATCTAGGAGAAGCTTACCACAAATCACTGGTAATATGGTGCAAAACCAAATAGACTGTGTACATCTGTTTTCTTTATCCACTGGAATACCATTCTCAGGTTCTCATCCATTGACTTGAATGTGTGGCCAAACACCAAAACATCATTGATATAGACTAGAAATTTCTTCCCTTATAGCTCATTCTGTATAAGCTCTATTGGTCTCTAGAAAGTGATTGGCATGAACTAAATCTCATATAACTCATCTCTAATGCGAAAAGCAGCATTAGGTCTGCTTTTGTCATCCAGCTCCACATTTCAGTATATGGATGCCATATATAAAGTAGTGCAGATTTTCAACTCATCCAGACATTCATCTGTTCACAGCAAAGGGAAGGCTTTAACAGGAAATATCACATTCATCTATCTAAGAATCAAGACAGAATCTTGGTGAAAAAGGGATGACCAAGAACTCTTCAAAGTTTGTATGATCCCATCTTTAAACGCCTGCTATAACTCAGTACTGGTTGTATCCTAGTGCTTCAGGGAAGATGAAGCTGGAGTTCTTTAATTTGACACGTGTCGCCTGTATATACATATGATAGTTACTTATTGTTGTTTGACCCAATTGGTCATTTGATCTGACAAATACATTGGCATACTTATTACTTAGTCAACAAGTTACTGAGCTTCTTTTGCCATGTTGGGTCCAGATATTTTGAACAGTCCTCAACCAATGATCTCAGATACATTGATAACTGTGTACTCGTTTTTGAACATAGAGTGATGATAAACGATTATTATGATATGCAGGCATTTCATATGTTTTCTACATACTTTAATGATATAAAGATGTTTTCAATTATTTGATTATTTAATTTACTTGCTGTAATGGAGGAAACAGTAGTTCAGAAAGTATTATTGTTAAGACTACCTTGTTATAAAAATATATATATGAGGATGGCTTTGTAACGTCGAAACATGTAGAGT